AACGTGTTATTATGTTGCGGAAATTCCACATTTCTGGCTGTACCTGATCTTCTCATCCCCTTCCCTCATTTCCACTGCTGATATAGTTTTTCCCTATTTATTTCTTATATTTGCTTTTATTAATTTTAAGGACATGAAAAAGAATGTCTGCTAGCTTCATTTATAGACCATTAAACATAGATCACAACATTTAAATAACTTGCCCAAAATTTATGAAGGTGCCAATGTTTCTGCCAACAAGTATTTTACTTGGAATCCTAAGTGTATTTGCATTCTTGATTAATCAGTATCTTTGATCACTAAAGACTTTCAGAACGACAAACTGAAAAAGATTCACAGTGGTCCAGCCAACTTCACAACAAATCACTAAATAGCAACATTTCCAAGGAAGTGGAAAAGCAGACGTCATGCGGGTGTTAGCTTCACTGAGATCACTGTCCGTCTTCCAGTCAGCTTAATAGAAGTGCCTAAATTAGCCACACTGTTTTTTCTAGCCACACATTTTAAGAATACTTTGAACATGATCCCAAAAATCATCTCAAAGGCTTATAACAAAGAGGAGTCTTGATAAGCTGTGTGTTTTTATTACTGAAAGGTCGTAAATATCACTTGAAATTTATATTGCTGTGAACCCTTGTTTTCATATAAGTGTGAGATTTTTATGCACATATAGTAACTCCACTTTACCTTTCATTAAGGATTTAAGGGGCTGGTTTGACTTAATTCTGTTCTTTCATTATCACTTCCAATTCTGAAAATTCATGTTTATTAAAAACAAATCAATGTGAAAGGGCTATTTGTAATACACAAAAGGAAAAAGCAGCACACACAGGCGGACATCAGACACTGCGGGTTTGGTTCCAGGTCACGGCAAAAAAAGTGAGTCATACAAATTTTTTTGTTTCCCAGTGCATAGAAAACATGCTTACAGTGTATTATAGTCTATTAAGTGTGCAAAAGTATCATGAAAAAGTTTGAAATACTGTGAGAATTGCCAGGATGTGATATGGAGACACCAAGTGAGCACATGCTGGTGGAAAAAATGGCGCCGGCAGGGTTGGCGCCCCAAACCTTCAATTTGTTAAAAAAACAAAACAAAACAAAAAAAAACCCTGCAAGTGAAGTGCCATAAAACAAGGTATGCCTGTGTGTATATAAATACGTATTTGGTGAGGCCTTTTTTGTGTTAAAGTAAGAGGTCTGTTGGATAGCTTAAGTAAATGAGCAGTGGTGCAAAAGGGCTCAGAGAAGAGCTTGTTCCAAAAAGAGGTTTTGTTTTGTATCATTCTACACAATGGAAACAGCACACATTAAAGGAACTTAAGACTGGAGAAAGTGGCTAAGACATAGATAGGGGTACCTAGCAGTGAGTAAGGGAGCTCTGGTAGCATAGTGGCTAAGACACTTGCCTGCTAACCAGACGGCTGGCGGTTCAAACCCACCAGCCACTCCTCGGAAGGAAGGTTGGGCAATCCTACTTCCGTAGTGATACTGCCTCGGAAACCCAAGGAGGGGTCGCTATGAGTTGGGTTTGACTCGACGGCACGTAACAACAACAACCAGTGAGTAAAGTGTTAATTAGCTTTCTAGTCTGCGATCACCAGTTTAATCATCTGGAGGTCTTGCTTCCATCCACTGGGCATGCTGAGAGAGAGTTCTTTTATAGGTATGATTGTAATGCTTTGAATTGTAAAAGTATGTACAGGTGTGTTGTAACGCTTTTAACACACTCAAGCAGCAGCTTTGGAAGGATATAAAACTCAACCCACTACCAACAAGTCAATTCAGACTCATAGGGACCCTATGGGAGGAGCTCTGGTAGCGCAGTGCCTAAGGTACTTGACTGCTAACCAGATCGCTAGTGGTTCAAACCCACCAGTCACTCCTCGGAAGGAAGATGAGGTAATCTACTGCTGTAGTGATACTGCCTCGGAAACCCAAGGAGGGGTCGCTATGAGTCGGGTCCCACTCAACGGCACATTAACAACAGGGACCCTTATAGGACAGACAACTGCCACACAGGGTTCCCAAGGCTGTAATCTTTACGGAAGCAGGCTGCCACATCCTTTTCCCACAGAGCGGCTGGTGGGTTCAAACAGCCAACCTTCTGATCAGCAGCCAAGCACTTCCTAACCACTACGCCACAAAGGCTCCTTATTGGAAACGTACTATTCCAAATCTGTAAGTAGCTAAAAATCATTTTCCTCACTTAAAAAAAAAGTGTCCTATCACTGGTTGTCCGTGAGTTTGCTTTTACTGGCCTCTGCATGTACTCCCTTGACCACTTTGTAGATGAGAATATTTGCTTGGTGAAACATAACCTCAAAGGTTACTTTTAAAAGTTGTTTTATCCTATTAATTCAAACACCGATTGATTACCTACTAGGTGGAAAGCAGTTTGACTTCTGAGATACGGATAAACCAGCTACATTCTTCCTGAGGAGCTCACGTTCACAGTCCAGTGAGGGTTACCCAAGCCCAGCCTATTGAAATACAATTTGGGAAGTGTGACTCCGTTATGTTCAGTGGTGCTACTGCACCTCGAGTGTGCATGGGGTAGGCTGTGGGAGGCAGGCAGGCACCGAGGGAGAAATTCAAAGGCAGGAGGGCACGCTAACTCTAAATGATGAGCAGGAAGTTGTCAGACAGGCAAAGCAGAAAGGAAATTTTCTATGTTGTCTTGACACATCCACCTGACAAGGTCAAGCTGGACCAGTTAGGCATTAGCATGAGTAGTCAGGGCAGTGGAGTTTCCCGTTCAAAGCAGTTTGATATACCACGAGCCATTGGAATTCTGAAGGACTGAATGACAAGCTATGGCACAATGACTGGCAAGATCACTTTCTAAATTTTCTTTCAAGCCTGCATTTCTTTAAGCAGTGTTCAGCACTCAAATTTAGGCTTTAGGTGGAGCAAGATGGGTAATGGGCAGCAGACTTGGGGTGTTATCACATGGTTGAAATGATGGGGTACTGGCAATGCCAGGAAGGGAGGGCAATGGAAGAGTGACTAGGATGAGTTCGAACACTGGAAGACTAAACAAGGCCAGGATGAAGCTGGCCCAGGCTGCGGATACATTGGAATTTAAAATGTCCTAAGGGGGGTCACAGGTGATGAGTGACTCCAGGGAACATTCGCAGGAGTGGGCCCACTTAAAGGTCAGTCGAGCCCGAAGTTAAAAGAACAATGAGCCTGGATAATCCATCTCAGATGATGGAACTGATTAAAAATCCATTCTAAGTGCTGAAGTCCTCAGGGCAAGTGGGAGATTACCATCTGATTTTGGGTCCACTTTTGCAAGAATGGAGTGTAATCTTGCTGATTATCCAAAAATTGAGGTGGCAGTTATGCTGGCTGGGGACAGGTTAGGCCATCCCGAGGGAGATGAAGGTGTCTGGGAATGAACAAAGGTGATTCAAGCATCAGGACAAAAGCAGAGCCATGAGCGGAAAGCTGGGTTCATTCAAACTGCACTTCCCGAATTTCACTCATTCTTGAAGTTTTCACCTTTGTATCATTTGTCTATCACCTATAAAATTCTGCCATCACTTAGTATTTTTCTTTAAATATTAAATGTTACTTAAAATATACATTTAAGAAAACGTGTATGTGCCACTTAAAACCAGCTACCAACAGTGGACTACAGTCCTACATGCATGTCATACTCTGAAAACACTGCCTCAAACCCAGAGGTTGGGGTTAATAAAAGCAAGCTGCTGCTCCCGTAAATCCTTTCCTCTCCTCCCAAAGCATCTTGCCACAGTGCTCCAGGATTGCCTCTAGACTAGACCTGGTCTCTTTTCTTCCAACTACTACCTTCTTAATCCCTTTTGACATCACCATGTTTTCAAAGTACCATTCTTAACCCTTGTCCTCAAATTCTTTTAGCAGCTTTTTATTTCCCACACAGTACACTTCCTGATCCACAGCAAGGAAGGAAACGCGTCCTAGACTTGCGGGCGCTTCTGGACCTATTACTGCTTGCTTCTGCCAGCCAGTGAAAGGACGCAGATGCTCACTATGAGTGGTCCTTAACTGGCTACTTTACCAAGGAATTCAATCCTCATTTATCAGTTTCAAGAAAGTAACTCCTCACCTCCAAGATTCGAGGTCAAACTTCTAACTACTATACTCAAGACCAAGTAATCGTGATTTGGCCACTCACCATTAGGTGACCAACAAAAATCTTTCCTATTTACTTCAGAGTTTTGTACATTCACTTCAACACTCAAAAGAATTTTTCAAATAGAGAAACAGAAGAGGAAAGAGGCATGACGCTATTTTCTTCAAATAATGCAAGCATTCTACATTTGAAAAGTTTACTGAAAACTTTTATTGTAATCAAAAAGTGACATAACGGGGTTGTAATGAATTCAGCAAATCATTCTGCTGATATTTTAGAACTGATATCCGCTTCTGCCAGGCAATTAAAAAAATTCAAATGTGAAAATTTCACAGTACAGTAAACTCCACCCCAACTAATTAATGGTGGTTAAAAATAATAGGCCCTAGCAAAACCTCTCATGTTACATGGTCACAACTCACAATTCTGTACAAAAGTTCGTGTTATAAAGCTCTGATGTAAAAATCAAATAATCAAGCAGCAATATTTTAAGTGCAGCACAGGGTCTTCCATCTCACTATTTACAAGGTTTGAATCTCTTTACATTATAACAAAATTTAATACAGATGACTTAGTAATTAAGTCAATTTTTAAAATCTGTCCTTTTACACAGTGACAGATTTCACTTTTTGGTCATCTTTCTCCTTCTCCTTCTCTTTATCTTTGTTCTTCTTTGACTTCTTCTTCTTGTGTTTGTGTTTTTGGCTTTTTTCCAATTCGACGTCAGTGCCTGCATGCTTCTTATGCTTCTTGTGTTTTTTATGTTTCTTGTGCTTTTTCTTCTCTTTCTTCTTCTTCTTCTTCTTGCTGTCCTGACTTTCCGCTGAGCTGGCGCTGCTACTGTGGCTCCGGGTTTGGCTTCCAGAAGGGCTGTGACTTCTGCTCGGACTAACGCTGGGGCTGCTCTGACTCTGACTCCTGCTTATGCCCATCTGGCCAACTGCTGCTGGGACCAAGTTCTCTTTTGCCCTCTCTATCACTTTGTCTTTCAGTTCCTTAGAAGTCTTTCCTGTTGTTTCCTCTTCTTTTACAGATACATTACTTTCACTGTCACTTTCATTATAGTCTGGTTCAAAAGCAGCTTCATCAGTTTCTCTAGTTAAGTCGGAGGAAAGTCGAGAAGAATGGCTTAACTGGGGTTTAGGCTTGATGGCATTCTTGTCAATTTGCCCAGTAACTTGCTCTTTTTCAATCTGTGCGTCTGGTGGGTTAAGTATATACAGCAATTTATTGGCACTTAAGTCTTTACTATTCCTTCCTTCTGACACATGCTTCTCACGGTCTTTACAAGGATTTTTATCCACAGACTTTGTCTCTTCACTTGAGCGTTTAGTATCATAAGCGGCTTTGTGATCATGGGGTTTTCTGTCTCTTGAGGGACTTAAATTACTTTTTTTTGAGTCTCCTGTTCCTTTCTTAGGCAAATCTCTCTCGTCTCTGGGTTTATTTTTTTGTCCAGATGCAGAATCTTTACTCCAAGGAGGAGAGTCTTTTCTTCTTGCTGACTCATTCCTTTCATCTCTACGTTTGGAACTTGAATAATCTCTGTTGTCATAGTCGGGTTTTTTGTCTCTGCTGGGAGTGAAGTCTTTATTTGAGGAACCACGGACGGAATCATGCTTATCTGAAGTTCTCGTCTCTTTGGAAGACTGAGACAGACTTTGAAAGCTCCCTTGCTCATTCAGACGGTCCAAATTACTGTCTTTCTCTGGCTGAATGCTGCTCTTCCTCTTTTCCAGGTTGTCCTTTTCCAACACCGAGTGATCTCGATCTTTGGTTTTCCCTTTTTCACTAGAGAGAGAGTTTTTTGAACTTTTAACCTCATGCTGTATTATTTCGTGGCTCACTTCTTTGGCGAGTTTCTGACTTTTCTCTGATGGCTCACTTTCTTTTTCACTGTACTTGACTGTGTTTGATGGCTTAGTGCTAACATTTTTTATAACACTAGCAGGTTTTCCTACACTTGATATAGGCTGCGTAGATTTAACATCTTCTTCTTCAGATTCAAAGTCATCTTTATCCCACTTGGATTGAGGAACCTGAATCATAATAATAACATCTTCAGCAGGTGCTGTATTGTCATTATTATATTCTTCCATAGTTTTAATGACAGTTCGTTTTGTATCTGTTTTTTCTTCAGATTTCCGCACAGGACTGCCTCCAGTTGAGCTTGTACTAAAAACAATCAAGAAAGTTTTAATTAATGACAAAACCACTATTAATTATTAAAACAATGACAAATATAAATGCTAACATTGAGTGAAATTACAATTCCATCTGAATACGGTAAATGTCCTTTTAGTATTAAGTCAGTTACTCTACTGTGGTAGATATAAATAATTTAAATATATAACTGTATAAAAACAAATGGCTCTAAAGCATGAGTGTTAAAAACCACCACACACATCCTCAAACTCTTCTTACAACCTTGTCTTTAACAATCTTTCTTTAAAGACAATAAAAGAGTAAACTTGCCTAAACCCCAGGATCAGCAGATCCTTAATGTATTTCACTTTCATGAAAATTAAAAACACAGATAAAATGAAGGGAAATTCCCTACCAAAACATACACACCCACCCATCCATCATCAGGTACCTGGTATAATCCACAAGAGTTGAGCTGGATCCTTCAGTCCCAGTTACTTTTCGTCTGACCTTTCCTTTAACTTTTTCTTGTTTAACTTTGCTAGATGTTGACTCCAATTTTTCAGACGGTTCTTTTGTATTAGATATATTTTCTGTACTTCCAATTTTTTTCCCCGTTTCTCTGTTGAGCTTGATTTTTTTGGCTGGGGCAGTTGATGAAATCTTGTCCTTTTCAGGGGTTCTATCCATCTTTTCGATATCAGGCTCCATTTTGCGTTTTGGTGATGGTTTCACTATTTCAGTTACTTCTAGTTTAGAGATTTTCAGTGAAGATGACTCAAAATCTTTATCTACACCTTTTTCTTCAGCTTTTCTTTTTCTTTTTTCTCCCTTGCTATCAAGTGGCTTACTTTTCTCAGTAGGTTTCTTGGTCTTTTCTTCCTTATTAGTTAGCTTTTCTGATTTGACATCTTTAGGATAGTCCTTCTTCACTTTTTCCTCTTTGACTGGTTTCACCTCTTGGTGTTCTTTCACTGACTTGGAGTGAGCTTTTCTGGGGATACTAATGCTCTTGTCATCTTTCTGAGAGGAAGATGTTGACTTATTAGCACTGTCAGCCTTTGGAGTCTCCTCTTTGGCTTTTTTAAGTGGAGGCTCAGGTCGAGGAGATTTTTCACGCTCTCCGTCTACTTTTTCTGGAGGTCCTTTAGCAGGTTTTACATTTTCTTTTTTAGACACAGTAGAGCCATCATTTTTCCGTTTGGTCTTGTCACCTTTTGTTTTTGGCTTATCTTTTTCTCTCTTGTCTTTTTCAGATACTGATTTAAACGTGATGGAGTCTGCATCCATCGGTTCATCTCTAACAGGTGTTGCATCGTCTCTACTTGGGAGAACAAACAATGAGTCTGTTTTATTTTCCTCTCCACCTGTAGGTTCTCTAGATTTCCTAGATGTCTCTAGTAACTCTGGGTTCAGAAAACATTCACTCTCTTCTCCTTTTCTTCTTTTTCTATGTTTCTTATGCTTATTTCCTTTACCGTCTCCTGGAGCATTTTCACTCTCCTTCTCTTTTGGTTTCGTATTATCCTTTTGATTGTGACTGTCTCTTGTTGAAAGTTTTTCTGGATAGTTGCCACCTATGTTTCGACTTCTGTGACTCTGTCCAGCAGAATAATCTTCTCTGCGGCCCCTTGGAAAGGGAGAATTCCTGATATTAAGTGGTAAAAATCTCTCTGGAGAAAAGTTCTCTCTATTTGCCGAGGGTCTAGGCTGTGCTCCAGCAGCATAACCCTTATAGTATTTTTCATACCACTCTCTGTATTTTCTCTCCCATTCTCTGTAACGCTCTTTCTCAAATGGGTCTCTAAAGTCAACGCTCCTGCCATAGTAAGCTTTTATATCGTAAGGTGGTGGAACTTCTCTGTATCTATTAAAATATTCGCGTTCTGTTTCCCCTTGAGGTACATTACGTTTATTAGGAGACTGTCCCCTAAATGCTTGAGGAGATCTTGATCGCGAATGGTATCGTCTATATGGAGGCGATCTTGACCTAGATCGATGATATCCATGAGATCTAGACCGTGAACGGTAATTCCGACTCTTGCCTCTGCCTCTTCTGGGATATGGAGGTGATCGTGAATAGGAACGAGAGTGAGAGCGGCTAAATGATCGAGAATAAGAGCGTGAACGTGTCGAACCAGATCTTGATTTAGAGTAAGTATATGAACTTCTTGAATATGATGAACCACTATAAGGAGATTTAGACCTAAAAACAAAAACAAAACAATAGTTGATAGTTGAGAAATATATACAAAATAAAACATAGCATCTCAGATTCTAGCACTCTCCCAATGGTGTCATCTTTCCTTGTATCAAGTTTCATCCTAGGTGATTAAAGAGGCACAGCGACCTCTATTGGAATGGAATAAAGTATACAGAGATCAGAGCAATCAATCACTCTGCGACAAAATAAAAGTGAAATCTTAACAATTAGAGTGGAGTGCATTAATGTACTGTGAGAGTTATATGAGCTAATTGACTTAATGTTAAACAAAAGGTCAATTAAATTTAAATTTTACTTCCTATCTGACAGATTTTTTTTTTGTCCTGTAACGCTATAAAATGAAGCACACTGCAGGTGAAAGCTGAAAAACTAAAGTCTTTTTAAACTTACAGGGAATTTTTGTCATTCAGTTTTTCTATCAATGAAGCAATCTGTATTCTACTACTACTTCCTAATTACTCAGGTTAATGTTCCAGCAAGAAGCTGTAGCCTTATGGGAAAGGGTGCTCAGAAATGTTCTTTGGCTATTCCCTATCTCTTTCCTTCCACAGACAGTTCCCAATTATTTCTATAAATAACTTTAAGGGACAAGGGTAATTTAATCCCCGTAACTGCTAGTTCTACACAATAGAATTTACAGAGACATATCAATAAACAGATATTGAGAAATAAGCTACACCTCCATTTCTATAAGCCTAGACCGAATCAGAAAAATTCCTGAAGTGCAATGTTATTTATATCCATAGCTAATCCCTGGATATTCAAAGTCCCATTTGTAATTCTGTTGTGAAGGCTTGCAAAACACTAACCTGGAAAATGAGCGCCTACGCTCCTTTTGAATCTTTTTGTATTCCATCAATTCCTTAGCAAAATCATTTGTAAACTCATCTAGCTTGGACTTTTTCTTTTCCCTAGTAAAATAAAGTTAAAGAGTGAAAGTTAACAAAAACCATTTAAGAAAACTAACAAGACAAATGTAATTAGATCATGAATGAAATGAATGAAATTGCCATTAGTTTTCTACTTTCAAACTAAAAATAACTAGGAATCCCTGAGGAAGTTGCTTGTATGGCTCTGGTTCAATTTTTAGGTGATTTTTCTTGTACTAACTGGAAACACTGGAAAAGGTTCCAAAGATACCTATTTAATGTTACATCAGAGAATGGAAAAGTGTACAACAATTTCAAGTGAAATTACTTACTCTTCTTTTAGCCGCCGCTGCTCTCTATAGAATTCTTCCCTGGACAAAGGTGGTGCTTGTGTTGTTGGGATGGTATTTGAGTGAGCTGTCTGCACTCCTGATGACACCCAAGGTGTTGATAAATTGGTAGGAGCTGGAGGAAACCCTGGAGGAGGGACACTATACCCAGCAGGTGGTGGCTGGCCAGGAGGAAACTGAGGAGAAAACTGTGGTGGAGGAACACCTGGAGGTAGAGGAAGTGTGTGGGGAGGAGGTGGATACAGAGGCGGCGGCGGGACCGGCACAAACACCGGAGTGGCTGGCAGTGATGGGCCTTGAGTCCTCTGTGCTCTCTCGCTGTGGTGTCGGCCACGGTTTATACTCCTGCAGAAATAAATTCTGAGGTATTATTCATTCAAACTAAAATCATCTGAAATAAGTACACTAGTCCCTTCTACATATTTACAGACAGTGGAGCAGAATCAGTTAACTACTGAAGTATAGAAATGCTGATACCATCTATCTGTAAAACTTAACTCCAAAACAAAACCTTAATTTTTAAGGCCACTTAGGAACCACAATGATATACAGCTTACAGGATCTTCTCTATGTGGTGACAGTATATTTAAAATGTTCTCTTTTGTGACATTCAGATTTAGTATCACCCTACAATTCCCTACCTGCTGTGACTTCCTGGGAACTCTGGTGGCATAGTGCCTAAGGCATTTGACTGCTAACCAGAAGGCTAGCACCCACTCCTCAGAAGGAAGGTTGGGCAATCTACTTCTGTAGAGATACTGCCTCGGAAACCCAAGGAGGGATCACTATGAATTGAATCGACTCACTGCAGTGAGTTTAGTTTTTTTGGTTTTTGTGACTTCCTAACCTCAAGGAGCTCTGGTAGCATAATGGCTAAGACACTTGCCTGCTAACCAGAAGGCTGGCGGTTCAAACCCACCAGCCACTCCTCGGAAGGAAGGTTGGGCAATCCTACTTCCGTAGTGATACTGCCTCGGAAACCCAAGGAGGGGTCGCTATGAGTCGGGGCCGACTCGACGGCACATAACAACAACAACAACAACAACAACCTCACAGGAGCTGACAGGTCAATGCCTCTGTGGACCAGTTCTCCCAAAAATGCCTTCCAAGGCCAAAGCTTTAAATGAATAAAAACCTCATCCTGTCATCTTTTTGAAAAAGAAAGTGGGTAAAGACCCTTCAAAGTAGAATACTAGTTTTCATGTTTGTAATTAACAACTGAAAATCTCAGTGTTTTCTCTTAAAGAGTTAAGGACAAACAAGACCGCTGGTCAGAGTTTCTGAATTGTGCCTTGTGAAAGGGACAGGGAGCATATTTCTTTTGCGTTAAAGGGTTCTTCAAATTATAGGTAATCGCTACATAACAGCAGAAGCAAGAGTTTAGCTTTCAAGCTTCTTTTCAATCAGAGAGCAGTGACCCCATAAATATTATTTTCTACTAATGTGATCTAGTGATAAAGTAGTTAACTTTTATAAGTTTGGCAACTCTCAGTGGAGCACTAGAAGATAATCTTAATATTCTTGTCATAAAGTTAATCTGGGGGCTCCTTTTCCCTGGTGGCGACTGGGACCTAGACAGTTTAGGAAGTATGCTGTCCTCTGAGCTCTGCAGGCACCATGGCACTTCCATGGATTACTGCTTAGATTAACATGGCCCGTGTCTGTCCAGGGCAAAAGCCCCTAACAATAACCACGGCCTTGTCTTCTCTTCTGGAGAAGAGAAGGTGTGTGAAGACTGGGAAAGTGGAGTCTAGAAGAGAAAGAAATGTAACTCTTCTTCACACTTGGCGAGTGGAGCCTGTTAACATTCATATGATTGATCCAACACCTTCAATGGCTTTCTTTTACCCCAAAATGATTATTCTGCTGTGTGCTGACAGAGAGAAGAGAGTCACTGGGAAGGAGATAAAAGATACAGCCTTAAAAATCATTGTTTAAAATAATAAACACCAATTCTTCTTTTACAGACCTCTTAAGGACAACTGCTGAACAATCAAGTGAGATAAGCATAAACCAACTATCCTTCTTCCCCCAACCCTTATTGTTCTGTAGGCTCTCTGGATTATAGTTTCCTGTATGCTCATCAGATTATTGTTTTTCAAGATTTCCAGCACACCTTACCTGTAGCAGCTCCTCTCCCCTCTTCTAATTTGCTGTGGTGGAGATACCAGATATCCAAGTTTGTTGGAACTATGTGGAAAAAAAGATCAAATTGGCTCTGAGTAATTCTCCATGCATAATACAGGGCCTTTGAGTGCAAAGATTTTAACCCTTCAGAACACTTTTTTCCCCACTCCCATATATCCAGATAGATTTATGAGCAATTATTGCTCTTACTTATTTTTTTTGGTTAACTATAGTAGTAATTAGGAGTTCTGATAGCACAGTGTCTAAGGCACTTGACTGCTAACCAGAAAGCTGGCAGTTCAAACCTACCAGCCAGTCCTCGGAAGGAAGGTTGGGCAATCTACTTCCATAGTGATACAGCCTCAGAAACGTTAAGGAGGGGTCACTATGAGTCGGGTCCGACTCAGCAACACATAACAACAACAACAACAACGTAGTAGTACAACATAGTAGTAATTAGGAGCTCTGGTAGTGCAGTGCCTAAGGCTGGTGGTTCAAACCCACCAGCCACTTCTTGGAAGGAAGGCTGGGCAATCTACTTCTGTAGTGATACTGCCTCAGAAACCCAAGGAAGGGCCGCTATGAGTTGGATCTGACTCGACAGCAGTGAGTTATAGTGGTAATTAAACCTAAATATAGAGTATTTGGGAACTTTGGTGGCATAGTGCCCAAGGCATCTGACTGCTAACCACTTCTGGAGGTTCAAACTCACTAGCCACTCCTTGGAAGGAAGATTGGGCAATCTACTTCCATAGATGGAAACCCAAGGAGGGGTTGTTATGAGTCAGGTCCGATTTGACAGCAAGGAGTATAGAATATTACCTACATTATATTTAAATGGCATTCTATAAGTTATTCTGTCAACTTACAGAAAAGAAAAAGAGCCCTTTTCTCTGTTGGGCACTACACATCCCAACTCTACAAATGAGGAGACGGAGGCTAAGTTGTCAAAGTGCATGCCCAACTGCTATGTAGCCAGTAAATGGAGGAGGTGGGATTCAAACCTAGGTTGGCCTGTTTTCAAAGCCATGTTCTTCCCACCAGGGTACTCTGTTAGCCTCTAGTTTAACATAGCTTCTTTACAAGAAATTTAGTTTATCTTTCACACAAAATGACCAAAGCTTTAGAATATAAACCAGTCTTAAAGTGCGTTATATAAAAAAAAAGATTAAATAAGTAGAAAAACAGTTAATAAATTGATTTTTAATGCTTTAAAATATCTCATTAAGAAGTTAGGTTCTTTGTGCTTTAGGGTAGAAGACAGAATCCTATGGATTTTAATATGTAGCATGGGACCAGGGAGTGTTTTGTTCTGTTGTACATAGGATCGCTATGAATTGGAACGGACCCCATGGCACTTAATCACAACACAGGTTTTGTTAACACAAAGTCTTTGTGACAAATATTGGTTTTGGTAAACTTTAACTTTAATATGTACTATTTATTCAGATTAAATTTTGATCATCCAACTAAGGTTTGGAGACATTTTAACCTATTAGGAAAATGATTCAGTATCAAAAATAATTCTTTATTTAAAGAAGAGTGAAGAAAATCAAAGATTCAAAGAAACAATTAGTCCAAGGACCAATGGACCACACAAACCACAGACAGCCTCCACTAGCCTGACACCAGAAGAACTAGATGGTGCCCAGCTACCAAGGCCAACCTCTCTGATCAGGATCACAGTAGAAGGTCCTCGACAGAGAGGGAGAAAAATGTAGAACAAAATTCAAAATTATAAAAAGGACCAGAGTGAGTAGTTGGATAGAGATTAGGGGACCCCCAAGATTATATCTGTTAGACCCTTCAAACTTGGAACTGCACCCACTCCCAGGGATCACCTTTCATTCAGCCAAACTAATAGGCCTGTAAAGTGAACAACACCCATGAGGAATGGGATCCTCAGAGCAATCAACCATGTGAGACCACAAAGGGCAGCACTTGCCCAAAAACAAAGTTCAGAAGGCAGTAAAGATGGACGAATGGAAGCAGGAAACCCAGAGAGGAAATGGGAGAATATTCTTACACTGATGGAATGGAATCTAATGTCATAAAACAAAACGTGTATAAATTGTTGAATGCAAAACTAACTAGCTCTGCAAACTTTCACCCAAACCAAAATAAAATGTTCAAAAAAAATTATCTTCTCATTAACTGAGGTTCTACTAAAAATAACTATTTATCAGATATGAAAGTATAAAGAATCTATAGTATTTTATGTTTTACTATTTTAAAAAGGATTTTTTTAAAGAAAATAATAACTCATATAATCTTGAATTTGTAACATTTTGCATACAAACTATGTTAACCTGGCATATAGAAGAGTTTATAAGAAAAGCATTCAGTAACACATTGTCTAGTTAGAAAGCAACCATGAGAAGTTCATTTTCAATTCATACTTACTGTTCCCAGCCCGGTCGACCCCCACCTGGACGAGCTGCATTTATTCTTACTGGACCTTGGAAATAAAAACAAAAAACAGTAAGAAAATATGAAATTGCATGTTCTATACAGTTAAAATTATTTTTTAAAGGAAAAAGGTCCAAACCAAAATATTTTTACTTACCAGTTGTGGGAATCAATTGTCCATGCAACAGTGACTGTCCAAGCAAAGATGGGGTTCCAAGTACAGGTACTTGATAACCCTTTAGGAAGAAAACATGAATAAAAACTTTTGTTTGTTTAAAAAAGGAATAGTTAAAAACAAAATAAAAACCCTAAAAGCCTACCGTAAACAACTCCATCACCACCCGCAACTTAAAGTGCCAGTAACATTTACCTTCTCTTCCATTAGAGCAGTAATGGCGATTGAGGAGGCTCCCTTTGAATGTTCTGATGCAAGGGCTGCAGCTGGCAAGATTTTATTATCAGAATCCCTGGAAGACAATGTAATTTACAAAACATCAGAAAGTTATCAGAAATGGAAGATTAAGAGGAAAACAACCTGTTGTTACTAATCGTTTATGCTATCATCTACATTAGTATGAGTTAAGTCCAAGATGAGGACTTAACACCTGAGGAAAGTGAAAGTGGACCTTTGGAGAGCTCCTCCTACATAAGGAGTAAAGGGGTGAGTCTCCTGGGCAGTGTGACACGTGCGGCAACGACAGACACTGGCTTTGTGAACGACAAAACTTAAGAATACACCAAGTGTGGGACATACAAGGAAAAACGAACACCAGAGTGGGAGTAAATTCTACTTCCAGCTCTACCACTAAACTGAATCGTGTGCCTCTGCACTCTCTGGTTCTTATTCTCATCATCAATTAAATAAAAGATTAAACTAGATCAGTGGGATATTAAAGCTACAGGTAAGGGTCCAGCCCTAAAAACATCCCCTCAGTGTATCTGGGACAGGTTCCTGGCATCTGCGTTTTAAAAGGGATTGACTGAAGACTTTATGAGCTACTGAACTACATGCTCAAAGGTCCCTTTCATTTCTGAAACACTAAGATTTAAATTAATTATCACTACCTTCCTACATAATTATGTTCCAAAGCAATTACTGTTACTGACTTGTCTACCTCTACTAATGCTTTTTTTAAAAAAAATTTTATTATGGTAAAACATGTAACATACGATTTGCCATTTTAACCATTTTTAAGTGTACAATATGGTGGCATTAACTGTATTTACAATGTTGTACAACCTTCACTACTATTTCCAAATCTTTTTTTACCACCCCAAGCAGAAACTCTGTGTCAGCTAAGAAATAACTTATTTCCCCTCCCTAGTCCCCAGTAACCTCCCATCTACTCTTTGGCTCTACAAATTTGTCTCTTCTAGGTGTTCCATATAACTGGAATCCTACATTTGCCCTTTTGAGTCTAGCATATTTCGCTCAGCGTAGTATTTTCAGAGCTCATCAATGTCATGGCAGGTATCAGAACTTCATTTCTCTTTATGGCTCAGTAAGGTTCCACTGAACACATGTACCACCATTTTGTTTCCATTCATCTACTTCTACCTTTTGTCTATTTTTAATAATGCTACTATGAACAATGGTTGCAAGTACATATTTGAGTCCTTGCTTTCAATTCTTTTGGGAATAAAGTTGTCCCTCAGTATCTGTGGAGGATTCATTCTAGGGTGCCGTGTGGATACCAAACTCCACAGATACTTGAATCTGTTATATAAAATGGTGTAGTATTTACATATAACCTACACACATTCTCCTATGTTATTTATGAGTCAGATCCGACTCGACAGCAGTGAGTTTGATATTTCTTTGGTTTATAGTTTAGGTGAAAGTTTACGTAGAAAGTTACTTTTACAATCAATAGTTCATGAACAAATTGCTCCGTGACATTGGCTGCAATCCCCTAAGTGTCAGCACTCTCCCTATTTCCTCCCTGGGTTCCCTTTTCCATGTCCATCTCTGTCTTCTCATCTTTGGTTTTGAGCAAACAGTGTCCTTCTGGTCTCATGTAGTTGACTGTTCTAAGGAGCACATTCTTTGTGGATACTGTTTGTTCTATTACTTGGCTGAAAGGTGGTCTCTGGGAGCATTTTCAGTTCCAAGTTAGAGGGTGGTCTCGGGTTTCTCACTTTCAAATCAGTAAGTCTGATTTTTATTTTTTTAAATTTTGCTCTACACGTTTTATCTATTCTAACTGGGACCATCCATTGCGATCTTGGTCAGAGTCGGTAGTGGTAGCCAGGCACCATCTAGTTCTTCTGGTTTCAGGTTGTTGTTGTTGTTATGTGCCATCGAGTCAGACCTGACTCATAGCGACCCCTCCTTGGGTTTCCGAGGCAGTATCACTACGGAAGTAGATTGCCCCATCTTCCTTCCAAGGGTGGGTTTCAGGTTAGAGGATGGTTAATGTGGCCTATTAGTCCTCTGGACTAATTGTTTCCTTCAGTCTTCATTCTCCTTCGCTCCAGGCAATAAGAGACTAATAGTTGCCTCTTAGGTGGCTGCTCACAAGCTTTTAAGACCCTAGACACTACAAATCAGCCTAGGATACAGAACATTATCTTTATGAATTGTGTTTTACCAACTGACTTAAATGTCCCCCAAGACTACAGCCCTTAGCCCCTGGGTCCAGTGGTTCAGTTCCAACATTCTATGTTTTATGCCCTCTTCTCCACTTATCCAAATTGTTCTTAATCCTGTTCAAATCTACCCTTTTGTGTTGTTCTTGTTAGGTGCTGTCGAGTTGGCTCTCACTCAAAGTAACGCTATGTCCAACAGAATGAAATACTGCCCAGTCCTATGCCAGCCTCACAATCCTTGCTAAACCTCAGCCTATCACTACAGCCACTGTGTCAATCCATCTTACTGAGGGCCTTCCCCTTTTTCGCTGACCCTCCATTTTACCAAGCATGATATCCTTCTCCAGGAAATGGTCCCTTTAACAACATGACTAAAGTATGTCAGGCAAAGTCTGGCTATTCTCACTTCCAAGGAGCATTCCAGCTGCACTTCTTCCAGGACAGATTAGTTAGTTCTTCTGGCAGTCCCTGGTACTTTCAGAAATCATCACCAACACAACACAAAAGCATCAACTCTTCTTCAGTCTTCCTTATCCATTGTCCAGCTTTCACAGGCAAATGAAGTGATTGAAAATACCATGGCTTGGGTTAGGCACATCTTAGTCTTCAAAGAGGCATCTTTGCTCTTCAGCATTTTAAAGATGTCTTTTGCAGCAGATTTGCCCAGTACAATAGGTCGTCTGACGTCTTGACTGCTGCTTCCACTGGTGTTGATTGTGGAACCAAGTAATATGAAATCTTTGACAACTTCCATCTTTTCTCCATTTATTGTGACCACAAGTGAATATTCCCTCTTCTGGATTAGAGAATTCAACATTTAAAAGGGACTGTTGGCAACCTGTACAGTGTTTGGCCTTGGGATGCTCAATCATTATTTGCCTAATCAATCACCTTCGTCTACCTCTTCTTCCAGTAAAACTAAGTAGTTTTGTGTAAGTAGTCCCACCTTATGGTGCATAGTGGTCCAGAGAATGACACATACCACAGGTCACAAAAAAAAAAAAAAAAAAAAAAAAAAAAAAACCCACCCAAAACTGTTAAAAGCAGGTATGATAAAAAAATGCTACATCATCAATCTCATTTGTTCTCTAACAGTGAGAAATACACATACTCACCGGAAAGGTCCATCTGATTTTTCTGAATGGACTGATATGGACACTGTTGCAGTTATATCAGGAACAGGAGCTGGGGCAGAAGATGAATTTCCAGGCCCCGGAGGAGCCAAGGAAGACTGATTCGAAGTCAATGAAGATATAGATGGGGCTGGGTGAGCTGATGAAGATGTAACCGGAATCATCAGCGGATCCTGCTGTCTCGATATTGGAGATCTCATCAGAGGTTGTAGGTGCCGCTGAATAAGTGGTCTTGGAGGTGGTATTGGGGGTGGTGGTGGAGGCAGCTGTTTTCGTAGTCTTTTTGTATAACCAGTTTCATTTTTGAAGTTATTAACAGCCTAGAGAAACCAAACATTAAAATGTTACAGTAATGTAGTATTAACTCAAGTAGTTAAATCAATTAAAACATTATTATTTTTTTTTTTAAATAAAAAGGATACCTGTCGTAAAAATTTATTGGCAATTAAAGCATCAGGAGAGACATCGTTCTGGTGACATGTCGGACACGTGTGTTCCTCTGACTCCAGCAGTGCTGTCCGTATACCTGAGTACAGCAAGCGTCTGATTATTCATAGCAGCACAGGAAGAACTCATTACTTGTAGACTGCATTAAAGAGATGACCTGCATCCACTCTGTTACATTACTGTTTTCCAAGCACAATCATTTATACTCTTAGATTAAGAAACTTAAACAGGTAAAATCGGTCACCTATGCAGCTCTGGTAGCATAGTGGCTAAGACACTTGCCTGCTAACCAGACGGCTGGCGGTTCAAACCCACCAGCCACTCCTCGGAAGGAAGGTTGGGCAATCCTACTTCCGTAGTGATACTGCCTCGGAAACCCAAGGAGGGGTCGCTATGAGTCGGGGCCGACTCGACGGCATATAACAACAACAACAACATGCAGGTATCAAATCTGTACTCCTCTGCTCTAACATCTCTCTGTAACTTATGCTACTTTAAAAAGAGAAGCCATGTATACATTTGTTTAAACATTTAAATTGAGAGAAAAAACACTCTTTTCCAAATAATATTTCCTCTGCTAAGCTAGTAACAGTATTATGGGAGGGGGAACAAAAAAAGAAATAAGAGATGGCCTAGAGAGAGGCAAAAATTTTACATGGGCAAGTCAGAGGGAAAAAGCATCATATAAAAAGGACAATTAAAAAAAAAAGATGCATTATTCAGGCCAGAGAATCAGAGACACCTACAGCATAGCAGGCAGGAGTAAAACTAAGTTTACAGGTTCACTAATGATGCTTCACTGTGGTACAAATTCAGTAATAAGTGCAATAAGTGGTTTGAAAAATTCAAAACACACTCTGAAATAAATCTTAAGTGGCTTCTTCCTGACTTTACTCTTTACTGAACAGGCCTAAAAAAACAAAGGAGATTTGTATTTCAAAACAAGTTTAAGAAATTAAAAAGGCCAGAGCAGATTAAGCATTGAAATTTTCAGAAGACATTATTTTCTTTTAGGTAAGAAGAGATAAACTTAGGTTAAGTAGTAAGGAAAAAGTTAAATGCTAATTTAAGTGATTATGAAAAATAAAAGTCACAAGTAACAACATGGCAAATGTTAAATAGTACAATCACAAGAAGCAGGTCTCAGTAATATGTAACAAAACCTCAGTATAGTCACTCTGATGAAAGTATATACAAGAGGTGCTCAATTCAGCATGAGATACTATATAAAACATTGTTCTACCTCCTACTTTGGCGAGTAGCGACTGGGATCTTAAAAGCTAGCAAGCTGCCATCTAGATGCTCCTCATTCAGAGCAAAGAAGAATGAAGAAAACCAAAATTCATGGAAACAATTAGTCCTAGAGACTGGTGTTATCATCTGATCTGCAGCCTATACAACTATAAGATCAGAAGAACTAGATGGTGCCCAGCTACCACTGTCATCCACTTGGAAGAGGATCTATGTAGGAGATCCTTGATAGAGAGGGAGAACAATGTGGAACAAAACTCAAAATCATTTGGAACTGAAAAAAAAAAAAAAAGGGGTGGGGGGGACCAGGTTTGCTGGTCTTGGAGACAACAATCATGGGAGAAAGAAGGGCTGCTTATACACAGGGAGAGAGCTCAGGGGGCAGGAGTATATGGAGGGATGGACACAGGGAAGAGGTAACTATGGGGATAAAGTGGGAGGGGAGCTGTTGCATTGTGGTAAACTGTGGTCAATGAGATGAGACGACAGTATATGTGAACTGCTGTGTGGAAAGTGAATTTGCTCTGTAAATCTTCACCCAAATCACAATAAAAAAAAAAAGACAAGAAGAAAAAAAAAAAGGTGCTCAATTCTAATGTCTGAAAAGGATAAAGGATGTCTCTCTCTGTATTTAAATATATGTAATATATATTATCTCAAACAAAAACAGACTTCCCACCACTAAATGTTCATTAATTAACACTTATCAATAACCAACATTTTGTATTTTATTATCACAATACACAATATTGCTAACAGCCATTCCAAGCCAATATTCTGGCATATACATCTCTGAAGGCCCAACATTTCTTACATTCGTCACAGTAACTGTTTCCGCAGCAGGGAATGACAACTGCATCGGTCATAATATCTTTACAAATGAGACACAACAATTCATCTGGGATAGGATCATCTTCTTCTGAAGAAGAAGATGGTTCCTCTGGTAAGAAGGGTGGTTTTTCTTTCTTCCCAATAGCATATGCTTCTCTGTAAAAGAAGGTTTAGCGTTTTAACATAGTTAACAAGGTAGTTTTTCCCAAGACATGCTACATGTTTCATTATACCATAATGGAAACATAAAATCCAGTGCAATGCCCAATCAGTTCAGACAAGCATACCTTCCAAATTAAGGGTAAAGTTATGAACATTCTCCCCCACCCCACCCCCCAAAAAAATACAACAAAAGACACAAAACAAAATCCTAAGCAAATATAACATGAAAGAACAAAAAGTTTGCTATACAAACAGCTACAGGGATCTTAGAACCATGTAATCCACAACTAAGAACTGAGGGCCATATGAACATGCTAAATGCCCCAGTTACACGTAAATGGCAGTGAGACAGGATTTGAATGAACTTAACCATGAGAACACCTTAATCATAATTTTCTCTATCCTACCATGTTCCTAGGAAAAAAACCATCCCCCCGCTCCAGATTTTAAAAGTTCCCAACACATGTGAAGGTATTTAACTAAATGACACAAGATAGGAAACTGCAATCAGTGCTGACATCATATAGTTAAAAGATTGTTCAGAAGAAACATCACAGCACTACCACATAAGTAACAGAGTAAGACTTCAAAACTAGCCATCTACTTATAATTAGTATTTTCAAGGGAAGACTATTTATAGTCCATTAAACAAATGTTAAAGTCTTAAGTGATCAGACAATGTCTTACAAAAACTTCAAGTAAATCTTCATTAGACATTCCTGTTCAGCGTTTGCAGAGATGTATTTTACAGAAATACTGGATATTAAATACATTTCAAAACACCATTAAAAAATCCCCAGCTATTCTTAGACTTGTCCTACTGCTTCCATAACCCCCCCTTCCTGTTGTCAGGCAGATCTGTAACATAGGAATGCCTAGAGATATCCTTTCTAATTTCACTTCTGAACAGTGTGTTATCTCAATGCTGACAATGAAAGCATCTCAGCTGTACGGAGTAGGGTACCTGAGGGGTGTTATTTGTGTTGCAGCTGCTCCATAGACATCACCACGATTCCAGAAATAAGTATCAATTTGCTTATGCCCCACTGTTCCCAATTTGTGAAAGAGGAGTCTCCCACTGCCCAAAAGAGAGAAAAGAAAAGAAAAGGGGGGGGACAAAAAAAAAAAAAGGAAGAGAACAGAGGATAGAAAAAGAAACAGAAGAAGAGTCTGAGTTGCTTATCAGCGGTGTTAGTGGAGAGGGTGAAAGGTTCATTTACAGTACTTGGGCTCCCATATTTCCCCAGTATTTGCTGTGTGTTTGGCACAAATGGGGTTTTCTATTTCAGCATTCAAAAGCAATGAAGTTAATTATTATTAGGGTTCACAGGTGATGTTAATTTTTCCAACACAAATTTCTATTTTTGAAGTATTTTTACACAACAGATGAAGCGGTCTGCTCTTAAATAAACTGTGCCTGCAAAAAAATCACCAATTTAACCCTAACGCTGTGTGGAAGGAACTATGAAATGTCTCTGATCTAATAACAGTGTACCCACAGACTGCTCTACAATGGACCACAAAAACACAGGATGATGACTGATAAAAAACAAATGGGGTGAAGTTGAGGAAGTGAGCAGGGTTGGGAGTTGAGGAAAACATTAATTCTTATCTGTAAACTAAAACACCATATTTACTAAAGTATATACCAAAAAAAAAAACACTCCATCTTTTTACTATCATTCCACACGACAGCCATTTCATCATCCCCACCTGCTCACTAAGCTACCATTCAACATTTACAGCATGAAGCTGAGGAAAGATGTATTCTTATAGACTATTTTGTTCTGTCTGAGAAAATGAACACTTATTCTTTAAATTGATGTTTCTCAAAATATGCCCTGAGGACCCCTTAACGTCATAATCTCTTAGAAGACTGGTTAGAAATGCAGATCAGGGTCCTCACACAAAACCACTGAATCAAAAAACCGCAAGGCAGGGCTCCCAGAATCTTCTAACGCACTTTTGCGTGAGATTCTTCTGCACAATAGAGTTAGAGAAGCACAGCCCAACGGACCACTTAATATTCTGTTCTATATTATGAGTTCATAACTGCTTAAAGCAATTAACTTATCAGTAATAACAAGCAGGTAAAATGGGAAGTTTACCCAGATGAACCATGCTACTAGGCTTTTATTTATTCATTCCATTATAATCTGCTCGTAAAATAAAAACTGAAACAATTTTTTTTTTTTTACCAGTAAGCATTAGGATGTTTTATAGATAGCCGATCTGAACCAATGGCTTATAAAATAAATAATTTTAGAATCTTAGACTCACGTGGCATATCCAAACTTATTCAGCATACCTCAATAGTTCATTTATTCTTGGCACTTAAATTTGCCTCAACATCTCACAGAATTTTTTTCCTAAGTCTTTTGTTTCTCAAAATGATCAATTAAGACATCTGTTTTGTTCACGTACAAAAAATGCAAATAGCATATGTAAGATTATGTGCAAGTATGTATGTGAATGAGCAAGAAAGCAGGGAATGACAGAAAAAGAAAAATAAATTAGAAGACTACAGGGAAGTGGCTTTCATTGATTAAAAACCCCCGAATCCATTTTCAATTTGCTTTACATGGAGCAGACTGCAGCCTCTCATTCTTAACACAAATACTAATGGTCTTGGTATACTATATTCCCAGAGTCCAAGTAGCCAAGTTACAAGCCTAAGATGAGAGCACTATACCCTGGGTCTGACTGTAGTCTCCACAGGTTACACCCAAGCTGAATACTTACGCATCTATAGTGGGTATTGCATATTTTCCAGTGTTTGTAAGCATTGCACCTTTCATGTTAGGATCTTTCACTTCCATCATAAAACTTCTAGGAATTCCAGTGCTCTTTTTAATTCTAGGACCAGATTCAAAGTTCTTATCCTATTCCAAGGGAAAAGGGGAAGGAGAGAAGAGGAAGAAGAGAGAAAGCAGTTACCTTTAATAAAATTAGCTAATATTATGCAGTGCTAAGTGCTTATAAGGAGCTCTCGTAACGTAGTGCCTAAGGCACTTGACTGGTAACCAGAAGGCTGGCAGTTCAAACCCACCGGCCACTCCTCGGAAGGAAGGTTGGGCAATCTACTTCTGTAATGATACTGCTTCAGAAACCCAAGGAGGGGTTGCTATGAGTCGGGTCTGACTCAACAGCACATAACGACAACAATAATAAGTGCTTATATTGTTTATAGTGCTTTACATATATATATAAACCAAACTCACTGCCATTGATATGTAAACCAAACTCATTGCCATTGAGTTGAGTGTGACTCATACCAACCACCAGTGGTTTTCCAAGGTGGTAAACCTTTATGGAAGTAGACTGAACCATCTTTCTTCTGCAGAGTGGCTGATGGGTTTGAACCGGCAACCTTCTGGTTAGCAGTCAAATGCCTTAGGCATCATGCCATTAGAGCTCCTTTTGTATCATCTCATTTAATCCTCACAACAGCCATGTGAGGTTAAGCACCATTACTATCCCCATTTCACAGAGAAGGAAAAATAGGCTTAGAGAAGTCAAGTAACCTGGGTCAAGTTCACTCAATTATTAAGTGGAAGGGTTAGGATTTGAAGCCTGGCAATTTGGCTCTAGGTGCTGAGCTCATGTGACACTGTAATAGAGAAGGCATTATTTTCCAAGAAAAATAAGATGGGTAAGAAAGAATTCTAAGAAAACTAAAGTGACTGTATTACAGTATCTATTTTGGACTTACCCCATTTGTCGGGCAATTCTTAATGTAATGGCCAGGTTTGCCACATCGGAAACAGGTATAAGAAGGTGGTGGTGGACCTAGAGGCTTCTTCATGTAACTGAAAGGGGAGAAAAAAATTACATATACACAAAGACCTCAAAAAATGATGCTTTTGATTCAGGGGGGAAAGTCCCACCCCAAAAGTTCCTATTAGTATAAGGTATTTACGAACTTACTTGATTGGGTCGTATTCATGGCCAGATTGCGACATCATTGCTTTAATTTTATCTTCTTCAGAAGCATTGGCTTCAGCCAGATTGGCAGTCTGTTTAACAGGTAATTATTTGACATACACATTAGAAACACATTTAAGACCACACAGCCAAAGACAACACCACTCATCCTGTAAAGAGCAGTATCTAACTAACCTTGCATAAATACAGCTATTTACATGTATAACCGGAAGAGGTGTTGGGAGCTCCTTACATCATTACATGATGTCTGGGTGTTGGCAGGGCTGAAGAAAGTCTTTCTGGAGGCACTCAAACCTTAGACCCTGTTTGTACCTTACAGTTAGATTTGCATACTACTCACTCTTCTAAGAGTTAAGGGCCAAGGTTAAGGAAACACTTGATGATTTTAAACCTTAAAAATGATTCAAGTGTCACAGATTAAGACTGTAATTTGTACTTATAGTTTGGAGAGAGGGGCACAACAACTAAACATATTATGCAGCAAATAAAAGAAAGTCAGAAGGCTCTTTAGATAGTGGTGTCAGTTTCAAATCAAGTGCAAAAGATGTGCATTGAGTTCTCATAATTTTAGATTCAACTATCCAAATAAGTTTCCTGGACTTCTTATCTTGGGGTATTAGCTGCAACAGTCCAGATATAAGCAGGGTCTAAGGGAGTGAGTGATCCCTAGTAACCTGAATCTGCAAGCATCTAGCACTCACATCAGCCATTCAATGGGTTTTACCTTGACATTCATCCACAAAACAAGCAAACAGTTTTAACATTTTATTGTAATTTTATATACAAAAAATGCTTAACATTAACAGAGCTTAGAACAACAGTTAACATTTACAGAAAACTGGATTACAGATGTTTAACAACTAATTTGTTTGAACCCAAACATTAATTTACAAATAGTTAGAAAAAAAGAAAAAGAAAACCCACCAAACCTCCCCAACTCTTCCCCCCAAAGAAACAAAGGTAGGAATAGACCAAAATTCAAATATGGTCCTTACAGTACACAATAAAACAGTAAACTATAAACTGCTAAAGATGTTAGCTCTGTGCTAAACCACTTTGCATTAAAAATTTAAAAGAGGATGGCTTTAGCCCACTTTATGCTTTAGAATTGTCTATTTTAATGCTTAACTTTCCCGGAACAGGAGCTTAAAAAGCAGTATTTATTACTAGGACATTTTTGGGTGGGGTACATTCTAAGGGGAAAAGGACACAACCTCGAACAAAGCCAAGGACATGATAGGGACAGCACTAATGGGAAACCCATCTTTCCATTAACCTCGGTTGTAAAATTTTGTTTCATGTTTCTGAGATAGGAGGGAAAAAAGGAGTTTTAGAAAACTGGAAAACTTCCTTCTTGGCCTTCAAAAGAATCTGCCTGTTCTTTAATATTTGCCTTTTTTTTTTAAAGTATAATTTACAAGCTAAGTCTATTGTTTTAAAAATTAATCCATCACTAGTGCTTTCCCAAACAAAACGTACAATTGTTGAATAGAAAATGCAAGCAATCTTATCGCAAAACATGGCATATACAGTAATTTCAGGAGGTAACAGTTTGCCCCTCTGCCAAACATACACATTGGTATATTCCTGCAAACAGCTGTATACACTTATACAAGTCACATAGTCTGTGTTCAAACAAATTAGGTTGTTTAAAAGTTTTTCTAATGCAGACAGACTACAAGTCTATAGTATAAGAACAACTGAATCACATTTAAAATGCTGATCATCACGGGATCAATTGATATACTCATGAATAACCACACAATCGTCCATGTTAAGGAAAGCTTCTATTTTGGCTGCTTAAAGAAGTCCACATAATTTACAGCCAAAACCAGGGAACTCCAGAACTCTGTTAGTTTCCAATGTATAATTAAACAAAATGTATGAGGAAAAAAAAAATGAGTAAATGTAGCTTCATATGTTTCTTCTGTCTTGAAGATGAGCAATACTCCAACATTAGACTGAGGCTGAGAAAGTGCTCCCCTATCTTTCCAAAAGAGCAACTACTATTTACAGGAAAATAACAATACGTACAATTGCTTTGCAAAATAGATCTGCTCCCGCCCCTCTGAAAAAATGGTTCCACATAAAAAAATACGATGTTAGAAAAAGACTTATATTTTCAAGAATATATATGTATATATATATATATATATACCTTTGTAAGCTGGGCCAGAGAAATAGACGCAGAAGAGTCATCAATCTGTTCACAAAAAATTAAACACACATTCAAGTTCCACACTGAAAACATCTGAAAGTGATCATTTAGCCCCTATTGCCATTACTGTTCAAATACTGCTATTTGCTTAGTTTTCTAAAGAATGTATTTTCTGTTTTAAACCAGTAAGTGTAGCCCACCCTCTTTTAGCCTCTATATTCACACATGGTATTTATAAAAGTTAATAGTTGAGGGGGACCCAATTACTACAAAAAAAAATGGAGTAATGAAAAGTGTATCATATAGGAAATTTGTTCAGAATGGTGACTACTCTTATTTAGAGTACAGACTATTAGAATCCCATGACTCTCAATAGTCTCTAAATTTGATAATGCTCAAAGTCAATGTGCACTGGAAGAGAAAATACAAGAAATCTAACTTTTCCACAATGCCATTAAACAGCATTTTAAAAACAAGCAGGTCTTTAAAGGCCCAGATAATTGCTTTAGTAAATAATAGCCTCTGCATTAATTGTAACTGTTTTTCCTTTTTTGAACATGTGCTGATCAGTTTGAGTAAGTTTGTCTATTTTCTCACACAAAGAGTGACATAGGTTTCTTGCCAAAGAAACCAGTTTCATCAGGGCAAAGATGTTAAGCCAACAATAGGGATGCAATAGGTTACCCTGGGTTCTCTAAGGATTAACATAACTGTCACTTACTATGACGAACTCTAATATTTGGAAAAAAGAAAGCTTTCTAATCAAATGGAACAAATATGTCAAGGTATAAGGAGGTTTCAAAAAATGTATTTAAAAGTATATTTTTTAAAATTTTCATTATTTGATCCCCTGAAATGATTTTACTACGAGTAAAAAAAGTTTGTGTATACATGTATGCATGTGTATATATATATATATCTCTTTAGCATGTAAAGCTAAAGACATGATTTCCCTAAAAGTGTACCAAAATGAAAACATATGATTAGCTTCTTACATAGTAACTGGATTACTTATTTGATATGTTGTAAGTTTCTCAAGTTATTGGTCAGAATTCTTTTATTTAAAATGGAGAGAATGTGACAAGATGCCTGGATCAAAGAAAAGGAAAAACAAAAACACTCCAAAGAAGTTGTGTCTTTATCCAGTATTTTGCAAGTATTCCAGAGCCTTAGAGTATTAAAATAGAGTAGCATGACATGAAGCCGCAAACAGAAATGTAACCAGTTTCAATATGAAGTTCTTATTCTTAGTACAATGTCCACCACACTAGGAGCTGAATAAAGGTCAATGAAAATAATGTTGGCTAAATTTAAGCTTCTAGTATTTGAAGGTTTTTAAATGTTAGTTTGATGGAAATTATTATGGGGATACTTCTTTAGAGAGTTTTTTGCTCCCCGGTGAAGGACCGCAGAGTTGCTAACTCACTGACCTCTATTCCTGGCATATAACCACATAATCCACTTCTGCCCAGCTCTGGGGAAGTGTCTTTTCATAACGAACTCATCTCAACAGATAAGGAGAATAAAGACTATATAAACATCCTGGTTTTTATCCAGAATAAATTCTAACCTACTCAATCTCTTTTCAAAAGGATTGTATTTTACATCAGAGATTACCTGAATTTAGGAAACAAAAACTGAACAAATTGCTGCCAACCATCATCTATACTATGTTTCTAACCAATGAAACAAATTAATAACATTTAAAAGTAGTCAATTACTATCTAGAATTGGAATACTGATGACGTCTTAGAAAGAAGGCAACTGGTTAATTCTGTTGCCCTGGAACGGCAAAGCTGCTGACACTGTCTGACTCTCCCCACCCCTGACACTCTGATATGGGTGTCTTTTTGTTCTGTAGCTGGGTTTCCTGGCCTTTCTTTGTAGCTTTCAGCCAACCTGCCAGCAGTACTGTATTTTTATTGAGTTAAAAGTGCTTTCAGATCTGCAATGACATCTAAATAGCCTTTTTTCTACCATCACCACAGCATCCAAATACCTTATAATCCACAAGTATCATAAATTCAGTAAGGCATCCAATTTTTTTCCCCTACATATAGCAAAGGTAGTTAAGAAATGAGTTGAAAACGTTGACAAAGGTTTAAGACTAATTAGGGTTTTATATGGGCTAAATGTCAATAAAAGTAACTCTCAGTGGCTAGCTAGTAAGATAAAAAACAAAAAAAGCCACCATGTTAGAAAAAAAGAGCCTTAAAAAAAACGATTGATGCACACTGTAGGCATCATTAAAATTAACCCACCTCCCCGAGTTTAATTAATGGTATGGTTTTTGGGGGTAAGTGTCTAAAATAACATCTCTTATGACAAATATACTGGCTTGAAGTTAAAGGCTCCTACAAAATTTAATTCTGATGTTTAGCAGCAGGAAGAAGCACCAGTGCTGCAGTACAAACATGGAAGAGTGAGTGTGTGAAAGAAGACTGGGTAATTTTACAAAGAGCCATTCTTGTTTAGAGTTGGCTTAAGTTATCAAAACTGTTTATACATACACTAATCGGAATGAAAAATCCAGTTTAGCACCTCTATCTTACTTTGTTTATTTTTGTGAATGTGTACAAGCCACACGATTAAGCTTCTAAGGTGGGCACTAATTGTCGTTGTTGTTGTTGTTAATGTGCCGTCGAGTCAGCCCCTGACTCATAGCGACCCCTCCTTGGGTTTCCGAGGCAGTATCACTACGGAAGTAGGATTGCCCAACCTTCCTTCCGAGGAGGGCACCAATTAGGCTTGATGAATGTATTCTCATTCTAAATGTCAGCAATGTACTCCAAGCAAATAAATGATGAGAAGTTACCTAATGATTCTATTTCAGATCATTCTACCTAAAAATTAAAGCCACTTTTAAAGTATTTTTTTTTTTAAAAGAAGAAACTAAATAAGCTTAAAATAAACTGCTTTTTATAAATGTAATACAGACATGCCAGGGAACACACGAGGCTAAAAGAATGTTAACTTTATTTATGAACATGTGATTTGTGTTTATACACATGCTAATAAACAAAAAAGAAGTAATTGTTTTCAAGAAATAAAACTTCATCTATATTAGTTTAAATACTATATAAAATGTACTTTATACAAAATGTGTTACATTAACTACTACAGTCACCAGGATAGTCAATCTAATTTGTGCCAGCATTTGGATACATAAAAATCAGTGTTAAACCAATCACCAGCAAAACAGAAACTTGGACAGTTTTTACAGCAGTATGCTTAAAAAACAAAAACAAAAAACAACCCTCCCTCCTAAAAAACCCCCATTTACCCAAAGAGAAGGGAGGGGGAAAAAACCCAAAACAACTAAGAATTTTGATCTTTGAATCACTATGTTTAGTTCCATGAGAACTAAAGGCTATATACTTTAAAGAACAAGTCCAGAGTTCCGATATATTCTATGTTATCATGTGTAAGATCCAATGATCCAAGGTTAGAGAATCGCCTCACATACAATTAAAGATCAGTAATATTTAAAAAGGATAAAGTGAAACAGCAAGCAACACCCTTGAATTCTAAATGAAGATTTAAGACATCTTGGATTGTGTACAATACCGAGATTCAGCAATAAAACGTTTAGAGAACCATCAAGTTTACAGAGCCCAGGGACTATAAACCTGTGTTCTAGAACAGATCGTTCTCACCCCACAACTCAGGAATGCTGCTGCTTTGTAATTAAGAACTCAAAAGTCAAAATGGTGTCATAAGGTTAACTTGTGGTAACAAAAATTAAGACGTTACTCTGATTTAGGGAGCAACTTTGACGAGCTACAGCTTTCAGCTGGCCTACAATTAATGCAGCATTTTAATGTTTTGTAAGAAGGAAATGAACATTTAATTTGGACATCTGAACAGACTACATACAAGTGGAAGAACTCTCTATTAAATTTTGAAAGCAGTGTGTCCAATTGTTTAAAATCATTAAAATCACTGAGCCGTTTCTATGTTTCTGGGGGACCCAACTTCAAGTCTCACTTCGTTATTTATAGCATGGTTGTAAATAAAGAATAGGTGCTCAAAACTGCCACACAGGGTAAGGTGAGGTAATAAAGCCGCATCAGTGGTCCCTGGAAAACTCTTCTATATGATGTGTGTGAACCTGAAGAAAGCATCCAACTTTAATAGAAGCTTCACATGTCTCTAATGCACTTTTCAAGCAGGGGAAAAAAACTAACAAAAACTAAGTGATACAACGTGAAAATGGCAAAATATACACTCCAAACATTTTTTTTTATTGCAAGAAACAAAAAGCACACAACAGCCTGTACATACATACAAAATACTAACTATAGACAGACAGATGTAGAACATGTTATCATGTTCATCAGTGTCAAACCTACATGATCTAAAGAGGATCATACATTAACTGTACAACACAGTGTCATACAGGGATAATGCTCTCATATTTAATATGAAACAGTGTTTTGGGGGGCACAAATTACCCATCTCTACAAAATAGGTGTGCAAATTACGCCACATATATCCATATTCAACTGAGCTGTTGTCAAAATACATTTTATTTACAACATGTATTATGATTAAGATTAAATTCTAAAAAAATTTACTTCACTGCCACATTATAAAGGTAAAAGCAATGTGTAGAAAAAGTGTGAGATTGTGTTTTTACATACTGCTTTTGAAGTTCCCATCACTGGTTCAGTTCGACTTCTAAAACACAAACAAAAGCAACAAAAAGTAACATAAGATATGAGCAGTTATTTATGCATTTTGTATGACAATAAATCTCAATACATACATCTAATCACATTATTTCTAGGGACGCAATTTTCTTCGGTACTCTTTGGTACAAAGATTTAAAAACAGCCACTTTCTGAACATAGTAGTTTGGTTAATCTTTACCACTTTTCACAGTTTAAGATGCATTTATAATAGTTTAAAAAAAAAAAAAATCCATACTGAGGAATTCTAGAATAGGTGTAACCTTGCCACTTATAAGAAAAAAGGTTTCTCAAAGGTGGTATGGAGATATTGTTAAGAAAGAAACTCTGTGATTCATTCTTAATAGAGGGGAAATATCAAACATACTATTCCTCAATTTTTTAACAGATCCAGATGTAAATTTTTATACTCCAGATTTTCTTAAAGCACGCCCACAGTTGTCAATGTTTTTAAGATTTCTACTTCTGCTTAACCGTTGTGCTCCAAAACTAATTTTCAAATCCAGAAAGATAGATTAACAGTTACTTTAATTTTTACAACAACGATTATGGATTAAGTAAGACTTCTAACTTCCCCAAAAATGTAACATACAATCTGAGGGTATTTTAGTTAAAAGAATGAATTAAATGGTTGTAATGTACAATTGGGCAGACAATTCAATATTTTTAAAAGTACATATAAATAAGCCCAAGAAGAAACTCCATACAAGAAAGGGGTGGAGGGCAGGTTGCTAAATACAGTGGTCCCTCAGTACCTATGGGGGACTGGTTTCAGGTCTCGCAAGGATACCAAAATCTGTGGGTGCTCAAATCGCTTATACAAAATGGTGTAGTATTTGCACATAACCTACAGGAGTCCTCCGGTAAACTTTAAATCATCTCTAGACAATAATACCTCACACAATGTAAATGCTATGTAAATAGCACTGTGCTCCCTCTTAGTCTTTGAGAGATCACTCTGACTATGTAACTGCTTTTTAGGAGCCATTTCTTCACAGAAACAAAGGGCGCACACAAGTAGCAAACACATGGACACAATGCTCAGCTGACGAGCCCTGGAGAGAGACAGGATCTGTGAAATGGCGGGAGGTTACCGCAGGGGGCACTACACTTGACTTTACTCCTGTGTATTCAGTGTGGTGTTCAGTGCCCAGCAAATCTAAATTTTGCTCTTTGGAGCTTTCTGGAATTATTTTTCAAATATTTTGGATCTGCATTTGGTTGAATCCACAGATGCAGAACGCATGGCTACAGAAGGCAAACTGCACAGTTTTTAACTGCTCAGTAAATTTTAGCTTATGCTATCTTGGCTATAATGCAGTGTTAGCATCTGAAAGCAGTTTCTAGGTCTGTACACAATTTGGAAGTACTGAGATTAAGAAATCCTAGATGTGGCTTTATTTTATCTCAATTCTAAGAACACATTCCATTTCCTAAGGCTGGCAAATTCTAGAATTTGTCATCGACCAAAACCAAAATTTACCAAAATTTCAAACAAAAGTACCTTTACTACCTGTTACATAATTTAGCCCATTTCACATATTACAGTTCTGACATCATTACCAAAACTGCAAGGAAGAAAAAGTTAAGGGTATAAAGAATGTAAAGTTTTAATAATGTCCCTTTAGTAAATGTTAAGCTCTTAGGCAGTTCTGTGAAATTGCTGTTCTAACTCCAATAATATACTGGGTACCTCCCAAGGGCCAGGCCCTGTTCTTTGAATCCTTCCAACTCCCAGTTAAGTACTCATGTCCCCATTTTAGTCTGGAGGAAACTGGAAATATAGAGAAGTTAGGTAATTTACCCAAAGCCACATAACTGGTATTAAGCAGTAAAGGGAGTCAAACTTAAGCCTGATTTCACAATGTATGCTCATAAAATAAGGAGCTCTGGTAGTGTAGTGGTTAAAGCATTTGTCTGCTAATCAAAATGTTGGCAGTTCGAACCCACCAGCTGCTCCGCGGGAGAAAGATGAGGTAGTCTGTTTCTGTAAAGATTTACAGCTTTGGAAATGCTATGGGCCAGATCTACTCTGTCCTAAAGGATCACTACGAATTGCTACCAACTCGATAGCAGGTGTGGTGTTTTGGTTTTGGCTGTTGTTGTTGTTGTTATGTGCCGTGGAGTTGGACCTGACTCACAGTGACCCCTCCTTGGGTTTCTGAGGCAGTATCACTACGGAAGTAGATTGCCCCATTTCCTTCCAAAGAGTGGCTGGTGGGTTTGAACCGCCAGCCTTCTGATTAGCAGTCAAGTCCCTTAGGCACGTTCATAAACCCTAAATAACTTTATTAACCTCTGAGACAAAGTCCCTTAGTGATAGAGAGTAAATGTTAGCAACACTGAATATGCTTGATGCTGCCAAAACATATAGGAGGAGAGATCTCTTAAAATTATCTTTTTGGGATAAAGAAAACTGTTGGACAGAAAAATTTTTTAAAAAAGAAAAAGAACGTGTACAGGCAAATAAAAAACAAAGAAAAGTACAGGAATATTTCCTCACTGATTTGCATCTCATTTTCTCATCTTTATAAATGCTGCCTATATAGAGAAAAAATTCTGCCTAATAATAGCTCTTACTCCTGAATGGAAGAAGAAATCAGGAAAAAAAAGCCCTAGTTGTTGAGAAGATGTACTGGTAAAGGGCAAAGTAAACAAGTTCAGTTTTAAAACACACTTTTTCTTTTTCAAAAATAAGTCTATTTTGAAAACTTCAATAATATATATGATTTGATAAATACTCACATAACATATGTCTTGCTTGTAGATTTAACACCACCAATAGGAATTCTTCTAACAATTACAGATGAATTCTTAGGAATTAGAGCATTATCATCAGTGTATTCTGTAAATAAAAAAATAAAGAGTCGAATTTCTATTTGGGGATTTGGGTAAGCCACAGTCCCCAAGAATCAGAAAATTTCAACAAAATACAAATTTTACGGGAAATGGACTTTACTATAACAACAGTGATAACTCTGCCTTCCTTGCAGCTAGATGACTGATGTCAGAGCAAACATCAAAGCCACGAGGAGGCTTTGACACCAAGTGTCAGCACTACTGGTCTGGTACTTTTGTGGAACCCTACATCTCAGTAAGACTAAGTCCTTCTCTAGTTTATTATGCCAGAAATGCTGAACATCTGAGCTATGAGAAAAATCTGTTATTTAGAATAAAGAAATTCTGTCTCTCCCAGCCCCAAAACATGAGTTGAGTATTGTGATCCCTGCTCTCATGGAGCCTAGTGCTGGGGGAAGGCAGACTAAAAATTAAATTATGAATAAAGAGAAAACAGTGTGTAATAAAGAATTAAAGGTGGGATGCAACTTTGAATTTGAATAGAATATGGATTCAAAGAAGCCGTCTCTGAGGAACTGACATTCGAAACTTAAAGCCAGGTGCAAAAAAGCCTGAGGAAGAGTGTTTCAAGAAGAGGGAAAAGCAACTGAAAAATGACATAAAAAGACCTGAATGGCAAGAAAATGAAAGAATAACATGAAAAACAGATGGACAGATACAGGTTCTACACCACTTTATATGTGGTTTCTAACTACAACAGAAGTCACTGAAAAATTTTAAACCAAGTGGTGACATGATTTATGTTTTGTTTTTTTTTTAAACTATCGTTTCTAGGTGGAAAATGAGCTACAGGGAGACAGATGTACAAATAGGTGACTAATACAGTCCTCTACTGGGAGATGTGCAAATGTATACATCTCTCTTAATCACACAACCCAGATATTGGGGGTTCACTCTTTTAATATTAGGTTTACATGTTTCACTTAAGTTACTAAGCACAAATGGCTGGCTACTCATTTCTTTCAATTCAAGTTTATCATATATGCATGCATTTTAGGCTTTTCAATGAGTATCAAATTTTTTATTTTTTAGTCATATTTATTAGCATTCCATGTTTAAACTAAATAATTGCTTAGACAAGATTTCTGGCAGTATATTTCAAATAGCAGTCTATTATCTCACATACACCCAATTAGAGTGTGCCATATAAGACTTTATTATCTTGGATATGTTGACAGTCCCAAATTCTAAGCAAAGTCTGAATAAGAAAAATTGGGAACAGGGGGCACAGGATATTTAATGCTAATTCTGGAAACCAAAAACAACCAAACTCATTGACATCAAGTAGATTCCAATTCATAGTGACTCTACAGGTCAGGGCAGAACTGCTCCATAGGGTTTCCAAGCCTGTCATCTTTCAGAAGCAGACTGCCGTATCTTTCTCTCATGGGCAACTGGTGGGTTTGAACAATCAATCTTTTGGTTAGCAGCCGGGCACTTAACGACCAGAAACAAAACTTGGCGTCAAACGCCTAAAAGGAAGTTTCTGAATATCTAGCAACTCTCAAATGCGCTCACAACAGCTGTCAAAGACAATTTACTAATTTGATCAGCAAACTAAAAGTCAAGTATCCCAACGGGCCGCCCCTCAAATAGATGCTCTCAATGACCTCTCGAGTACCTCATAAATAGGTGGATCCTATATATTCTTACTTAAAATACCTCCTTCACAAGTAGACTGCTAGCTTCAAAAAGACATTCTCCTCCCCAGTGTAATTTTTGATCCCAAAACATGAAGTGGAAAAAAGATGAACTTGAGAAAAGGAGTGACAAAGATAACATGGGTCTTTTTTTCAAAAAAATTATATATATATTTAAAGGGTCTTTAAAAAGTATTTCACATTTAGCTTCTAAATCTCTCATACTAAGTTCAGAATAAAGTTGCATTGGGGGGGTGTCGGAGGGAGTGCTGTGCAGAAAAGTATAAGAAGAACAGAAAACACGTTTTTCTTGCATAACAAAGACCATTTGTGATTTTGAAATACAGTCTAGAAACAAGCAGGATTCTTGAGTCTAGAATATGAAATTATGTGCTAACCATTTCAGTCTGATTAAGATTTAATGGTTCTTACCATGAACAGAAGCCCTGGTGGTTAAAAGTACTTCGATGCTAACCAAAAGGTGAGTGGTTTGAATCCACCAGCCATACCACTGGAGAAAAATGAAGCACTCTGCTTCTGCAAAGATTACAGCCTTGGAAACTCTATGGGGCAGTTCTACTCTGTCCTACAGAGTAGGCTTAGAGCCGGAATCACCTCGACAGCAGTGGATTTTTTAAAACATAGACAGTTTTCCAAAACTGTAAGGAATGTTTTCTAGAAACACAGATCAGGTAATTTACAATATTAATTTAAAACAAGCTAATGTTCAGCATTCTCTCCAAGGCAATCTCCTACCTATGAAGCTAAAAACATTTATTTTGCATCCTTTTAATCAATGGATGATGTCAAACCAAGTGACATTCTTATGTCACCTGCACTGGGTACTATTTCCCTAAAACTCATGAAATAGCTGTTCTCCCCTAATTTGAAGATTGCATAAAAAGTACATTTTCTCCACCTCCAGCTCCCTCTCCCAATCAAACATCTAAACTGACCATGAAAGTTTTCTCCAATAAAAGATAGTTCACACAAATATGTAAAATATACTGTGGGACAAAGCACTTTTTATGGCTTTTAGAACTGGATTATATATGATATATTTATTTTCCCTAGACTAGAAAAGAAGTAACACAAAGTTACAAAGCACTTAATTTGATGCATAAAAATTTTTTCAATCATAACTTACTCTAGTCTAACAAAGTTATAGTCAACTGTTAGGTGGAGAAGATGGCCAAAGCCTAGCCCCAAATCCTTCAATTATGTAATACTTCATCAAAATATGAAAGCTAGTATATGATCATTAAAACTGCCTTAATACCCTTTAGTTGTAACTCCATTTACATTTTCTTTTCTTTCATTCAGTACTTATTAATCAAGATAGCCTAAAATGATAATTAAGTCCACGTGTTCTGTGAAATGTGACTAAAATATTTAAGGGGTAACTTTTGGTAATCTTACAAAAGGAAGAATATTTTCTTGAGGCATTTTCTTAAATACCTTAAGGTATTTTCTTGAATAATAGGTTAAAAAAAAAACTCTCCACTGTACATGACCACAAACAATGACTCTTCTCCTTAAGTACCAGGATGGTATACACATAATTGCAATTACCAAAGCCTCCTATGAAGTGTCCTTTAGGTATGACACCTGTTTAAGGAAAGAAGGGAGTATTCTTTCACATATTAACATGTGAGTAAATAAAGTTCTTCCGTAATGAATATTCTGGAGTCATGATGCACCAGACCTGCTGTTCCTTACCATCATACAATTAAACGTGTGCCTGGAAATGGAAAACTCCTCTCCATGACAAGACTTACTCTACCTAACGCACTACAGGCTGGAGGTGGGGGTCCTATTTCAACTAAATGAACTCATGTTACACTTTTAAACAAAGTTAGCCATTGATAAAATACTATAACTTAATCAGAACTTCCCTTTATTCCTTCTCATCCCATCAGTAAAACTTAAAACACGGAACCTACTGGAAATGACATCAGCATTACTGTACTGAGAAACAGAAACCAAAACAAGTTCAAAGTCATACCCTAAAAAGGCTATCAGCACAGCCTTAAAAACAAAGAAGTCAAATTTTCAATCTTACAACATACTTTTAGAAAAGGGAAAGAACTTAAAGATTCCAATCAGTGGCTTATTTTTACTCATATGGTAGCAGCCTATTGTTTTTCAATATCCTAATATCCACACAGGCACGTCGTCTAACAGCTACCCTATAAAAACCAGTACTTTTGATCTTGACCCACACGCTCAGTTTGAAGAGTATACTACTTAATTACATTAACGATTCTTGAACTCACAAAGCTTGTCACATCAGAAAGTACCAAGTTTCAAAGACCATTCCGACATCAACGGGTGGCTGGATTACAGCCCCAGAAACATCCATGTGAAGATCCCTGGTCCCCAACACAGGCAACTCTCCCTTATCCCCCAAGAACAGGGAAAAGGAGAAAGGGAGGACATTTTGCCATCAGTCCCCAAAAACGATGATCACAAAACTAGAGCAGTGTCTCTCCACTGCTGCTGTCATCAACAAGCCTTGTGTAAGCTCTCCTCCCTCCTTCAGACGGTAAAATGCTAGAGCAAGACCCAAAGAACCTGGCTGATTCTGCAGCCCTCAGCCTCGATCCTCATTTTGAAAACCACTGGACAGAATCGTGAAACGTCCACATTTGGGGATTCGCCTTGTTACACACGACAAACAAGCCAGTGAAACTCTTAAGGCAGGCTGCTGCTACCCCTGGTATCAAAGCTGTCTTAAGTATTAGAACCAACAGCCCCAGAAGAGACGTGATGGCGGTTAGCCTTCTGGCAAGCCCCTCACCACCAGTCTCTTTAAGGAGCAAGTATCTGCAGCCCGTTTGGCCCTTACCTTCTTTCGTCTGCGCGTTGGTGATCTGCAGGTCGCAGTCGGCAGCTTTCAGCTTCTCCCTCCCCATAATCTGCTTCTTTAAATCGCAGAGGGAGATGTGGAGCCCATCAAAGGTGACGGTATCATAGTTGAGTTTAGAGGAAAATTTATAATGCACACAGGACATGGTGCCAAAGGATTCCTAAGGTTCAGCGAGGAGACGTGGACACGCTCAACGTATGTATATTTATAAACTCAAGAGCAAAATATGTACACACACAAAACACTCAAAAAGACACTGAAGGACCCTAAGGCCTTAAATACCCCCCAACCAAAAGCAGGGGGTCGTAAGAACAATAATCCAGAACCCCCGAAACTCAGAATCATTTCATGTGGGAGGAGGCGGGTGAGGACAGGGAAGGGGAGGAAATGGAGAATCCGCCAGTGGCCACAATGTCACCCGGCTGGGTCCCCCTCGCTCATGCTAAGGGCCGGCAGGAGACGGGGACAAGCGATGCAGTCTGTAGCGGTCAGTCCACACGTTAGAGTCCGAGCGACCCCAGCGGGGTCAGGGGTCCATAGCGCGTCCGCACCTCCCGGATGGTCTCTTTCCGTGGATTGGGGTGACCCAGACCTCGGGAGAAGGCTGAGGGGAAAGGGCCTAGGCCCGGAGTCCACGAGCGGCCTCTCGCCTCCTCCTGGCTTCCGGACGAGCGGCGTCAGCTGCCCCAGGCCCAGGCCCCCACCACACACACAAACCGCCTGCTCCCTTGCGGCCCCGGGCAGCCCCGCGGCCTAGGCCAAAAACGCACGGTCGGCGGAGGAGAGGCCTTCTCGCAGGCCGCCCCCGGCTCCGGCTCCGCCTCCCCCCCGCCGCCGCCTCCTCAGACACAAAGCCGGTACTAGGCCTCAACTAGGCCTCGAAGCACTTCCTCACCAACCCCGGCCCCAACCAGTGACCGGGTGGTTTCGGAGGACCCCGGGGACACCGCCGAGGCTCCCTGACGCTTCCTCTCGTCGGGTGCTCCGCGCTTCTTTCGCCTTTCGGTTCCGTCGACTTTAGGCCCAGAACCGCGAGAATATCCCCGGAAACTGCCGGGCAACGGCAACGGCAAGGGCTCCGCTGGCTCCCCCTGTTTTTTTTTTAGCTCCCCTGCCGCTCTCGGCCCTCACCAATCGTCCCCGACACCTCCAAGCCAGGTACTATGGCGGACGCAGCCTGGCTTCGGGCGAGCGCCCCACTCCGGGGTCTCTTAAGCAGGAATTGCACGGGCAGCGCGCGTGAGGCGGGGCTGGCGTAAGCGGATAGGCGGGCCAAGAGGCGGGGCAGATGACGTCACAAAGCGCACCGGCCCGCCCACGTGACCCCGCGCTTTGTGACTCAGGAGCGCGGAACCTGAGCTAGCCGGGAGAACGGAAGAGACCTTCTGTGTCAAAAGGGAGGGGGAGACTCTAGAGTCAAAAGGACTGGCTCAGGCGGCGGTTGAGGGAGGGGATCTCAGATTTTAGCTGCTATGTCCACTTTCCACCAAACGTTGAAGTGCCAAGGTCCCAACAAGTCCCTATCAACTCCCCTAAGCTCCCCAATTGACCTAAACATCATGGTTGCTATGAAATAAACCACGGTTGCTATGCAAACACTCCCTAGTTTTCCCTTCTTATAAACTGGCTACCCTAAGCGCTTCCCGAATAGAAATTCTGGACAGCCGCTGCCTACAACTGATAACAAAGATTTGATGAACTTTACCGTGTGCCAGCCTCAGCAGCTGATTATCTGGGTTGGAACCGTAGTTCGGGGGGGCTCTAGATTTAACCCTTCTGCACCTCAGTTTCCTAGGTATAAAGGGTTTTAAAAAGTATTGGTGCACTGACTTGTTGTGGACTAAAGGAACGGATAGATTTATATTGTTTAGAACCGAGCCTGAAACACGATTCAGTGGGCCTCGGTAAACGTGGCTCAATGTCACCTTTAAATAAATAAATAAATAAATATCCCTAAGTGGTCAGCACTACCATTATCTCCAATGTATACCCACTGGTATCCAGTCGATTCCGACTTGGAGAGAACCTATAGGACAGAGTAGAATTGCCCCATAGGGTTTCCTAGGTTGAAATCTTTACAGAAGCAGAATGCCATCTTTCTCTGGCAGAGCCACTGGTGGTCGGAGTCCAACAACCTTTTGGTTAGCAGTCCAATGCCCTAATCACTGCATCACCAGGAACTGAAGCTAGTAATGATGTACCTTTTTGAATTTGCAGAAGGGAATTCCTGATCTGTGGCAGACTTCCAATCCCATTCCTAATTACAAATGCCAGGAACTGGGCCAAGAGCCCCCTCAGTGGCTTGAAATCTATTTTTCTTGGAGCATGGGAAAGTTATTGTTATAGCAATAACATTCATAATTTGTTGTTGTTAGGTGCCATCGAATGATTCCAACTCACAGCGACCTTATGTACAACAAAACAAAACATTGCCCAGTCCTGCACCACTCTGAGGACTGTATTCCACAGTGGTTGCACCATTTTACAGTCTTAGCACAAGTTTATATGAGGGTTCCAGGCTCTTCACACTCTCACCAGCATTTGCTGTTTTCTGTTGTTTTGAACTTTGCAATTAATCTTGGGATGAGATGATGTCTCATTGTTGTTTTGATTCGCATCTCTCTAATGGCTCAGGTAGCATAGTGCCTAAGGCACTTGACTGCTCACCAGAAGGCTGGCGGTTCAAACCCACCAGCCACTCCTTGGAAGGAAGATGGGGAAATCTACTTCTGTAGTGATACTGCCTCGGAAACCCAAGGAGGGGTCTCTATGAGCTGGCCGACTTGACGGCAAACAACAACAACAACAACAACAACAACGGCTCAGGAGAGGCAGGATATCCAGGTTAAAACGGGCGGGAGGCAAGCCTAGGCCCCAAGCCCCCTAAAGCCAGGAAAGGGAGGGACCAGGAGGGGCCTCGGGGACCTCAGGAGCAGTAGGATATCCAGGTTAAAAGGGGGTAGGAGACAAGGAAGGCCCCAAGCCCCCTAGAGCCGGGAAAGGGAGGGACCAGAGAGGCCGATTTCAGGTAGCAATTAGGTAAGAGGAGGGTGCAGAGGTTTCCAACAGCTAAGGGAGACAAACTTGTGTGTCAGTTTGTCATCTGTGGGGCTTGTACATTGCTGTGAGGCTTGAGGCTGTGCCACTGGTGTTTCAGACGCCAGCAGAGTTGCACAGGGTGCACAGGTTTCAATCAGCTTACAGACCATGACAGACTAGGAAGAAGGAGGAGGCCATCCACTTCTCATAAATTGGCCAGGAAAAACCTTATGAATAGCAGAGAAACACTGTCTGGGCATTACTGGGCAACTTTATGAATAGCTTGGAAATATTGTCCGACAGAGTGCAGGAAGACTAGCCCATTGGGTTGGAAGGCACTCAAAATATGACTGGGAAAGAGCTGCATCATCAGAGTGGAACCAACCTTAATGATATGGATAAATTAAGTCTTTCAGGACCTCCATGTGCTGATGTGGCATGACTCTAATTGAGGAATGTATGAAGTATGAATCTAGGAAAATTGGAAGTTGTCAAAAATGAAATGGAACACGTAAAGATTGATATCCTAGACATTAGTGAGCTGAAATGGATGGGTTTTAGCCATTTTGAATCAGACAACCATATGATCTACTACGCTGGGAATGACAAATTGAAGAGAAATGGTGTGGCATTCATCATCACAAAAGATGTTTCAAGATCTGTCCTGAAGTACAATACTGTCAGTGATAGGATAATATCCATATGCCTACAAGGAAGACCAGTTAATATGACCATTATTCAAGTTTATGTACCAACCACCAAAGCAAAAGATGAGGAAATTGAAGACTTTTATCAACTTCTGAAATTGACCAAACATGCAATCAAGATGTGTTGCTTATAACTGGTGATTGGAATGCAAAAGTTGGAAACAAAGAAGAATCACCAATAGTTGGAAAATTTGACCTTGGTGACAGAAATAACGTTGGAGATCGCATGATAGAATTTTGTAAGACCAATGATTTATTCATTGCAAATATCATTTTTCAACAACACAAATGGTGGCTATACACGTGGACTTCATCAGATGGAATACACAGGAATCAGATTGACTACATCTGTGGCAGGAGGCAATGGAAAAGCTCAATATCTTTAGCTAAACCCAGGCCAGGAGCTGATTGTGGAATAGACTATCAACTGCTCATATGCAAGTCAACTTGAAGTTGAAGACAATTAAAACAAGTCCATGAGAGCCAAAATATGATCTTGAATATATCCCTCCTGAATTTAGAGACCATCTAAAGAATAGATTTGTTGCATTGAACACCAATGACTGAAAACCAGAATAATTGTGGGATGATATCAAGAGTATCATCTATGAAGAAAGCAAGAGGTTATTAAAAAGACGAGAAAGAAAGAAAAGACCAAAATGGATGTCAGAAGAGACTCTGAAACTTGCCCTTGAGCAAGGAGTAGCTAAAGCAAATGGAAGAAATGACAAGATGAAAGAGCTGAATAGAAGATTTCAAAGAGAAGCTTGAGCAGACAAAGCCAATTACTATAATGAAATGTGCAAAGACCTGGAGTTAGAAAACCAAAAGGGAAGAACATGCTTGGCATTTCTCAAGCTGAAAGAACTGAGGAAAAAATTTAAGCCTCAAGTTGCAATACTGAAAGATTCTATGGGCAAAATATTGAATGATGCAGGAAGCATCAAAAGAAGATGAAAGGAATATACAGAGTCACAGTACCAAAAATAACTGGTCAATGTTCATCCATTTCAGGAGGTGGCATATGTTCAAGATGGTATTGAGGGGAAGGTCAAAGGCTCCTAGCATTGACAGAATACACACTGAGATTTTTCAACAAATGGTTGCCCCACTGGAGGCACTCATGCGGTTATGCCAAGAGATTTGGAAGACAGCTACCTGGCCAACTGACTGGAAGAGATGCATATTTGTACCCATTCCAAAGAAAGGTGATCCCACAGAATGTGGAAATTCTCAAAACAATATCATTAATACTGCAGGCAAGTAAGATCTTACTGAAGATAATTTAAAAATGGTTGCAGCCGTATATTGACAGAGAACTTCCAGAGGTGCAGGCTGGATTCAGAAGAGGATGTGGAATGAGGGATATCATTGCTGATGTCAAATGGATCTTGGCTCAAAGTAAAGAATACCAGAAAGATGTTTTTTTGACTATGCAAAAAACATTTGATTGTGTGTATCATAACAAATTGTGGATAACATTGGGAAGAATGGGAATTCCAGAACACTTAATTGTACTCATGAGGAACCTGTACATTGACCAGGAAGCTGTTGTTCAAACAGAACAAGGGGACACTGCATGGTTTAAAATCAAGAAGGGAGTGTGTCAGGGTTGTATCCTTTCCCCATTACTTATTCAACCTGTATGCTGAGCAAACAATCCGAGAAGCTGGACTATATGAAGAAGAACTTGGCATCAGTATTGGGGGAAGAATCATTAACAACCTGCAATACGCTGATGACACAAACTTAGCTTGCTGAAAGTGAGGATGACTTGAAATAATTACTGATGAAGATTGAAGAACACAGTCTGCACTATGTTTTACATCTCAATATAAAGAAAACAAAAATCCTCACAACTGGACCTATGAGCAGCATTACAATAAATGGAGAAAAGATTGAAATTGTCAAAGACTTCACATTGCTTGGTTCTACAATCGATGCCAATGGAAGCAGCAGTCAGGACATCAGACGATGGAAACGACATCAGCACTGGGCAAATTGGCTGCAAGGGACCTCTTTCAAGTGCTGAAGTGCAAAAGAAGATGAAAAATCTCAATGTGTATTCTATCAGTGCCTGGAGCTTTGTTCCTTGCCAATTCCCTCAGTGCAGCTTCGACCCCTTCCCTCAATACCATTGGTTCTTGAACATATTTCAAGTGCTGAAGAGCAAAGATGTCTCTGTGAGGACTAAAGTGCATCTGACACAAGCCATGGTATTTTCAATTGCCTCATATGCATGTGAGAGCTGGATAATGAATAAGGAAGACCGAAGAAGAGTTGATGCTTTTGAGCTGTGGTGTTGGTGAAGAATGCTGAAATTACTGTGGACTGCTCAAAAAACTAACAGGTCTGTCCTGGAGGAAGTGCAGCCAGAACGCTTCTTGGAGGTGAGAATGGCCAGACTTCATCTCACATACTTTAGTCATCTTGTCA